TGAGGCACCTGTAACAAAAGACAGATGAACGAAAGAAAAGCATGCAAATATGTTTAATCGAAGTTGTATGTGACATGGGAGCCTACCTAAGGAAATGAAAACTGAAGAGTTGGGCGTGGTGGCTCATGTACCCAGCACTTTGGAAGGCGAAGGTGGGAGGATTGCCTGAGCTCAGGGGTTCGAGACCAGCCTGGACAACTTGGCAAGACCTCGCCTTGACAATAAATAAAAAAATTAGCCAGGTACTTGGAAAGCGGAGGCAGAAGGATCACCTGAGCCCAGCAGGTTGAGGCTGCAGTGGCCATGAGCATGCCACTGCACTCCAGCCTGGGCGATAGTGAGACTCCAACTCAAAAAAAAAAAAAAATGCTGGGCTCGGTGGCTCAGCCTGTAATCCCGCTCTTTGGGAGGCTGAGGTGAGTGGGTTGCCTGAGCCCACGGGTTCGAGACCCACCTGGGCAACTTGGCAAGACCTCATCTCGTAGCACACACCTGTAGTTGCAGCTATTTAGAAGGCTGAGGCAGAAGGATCGCTGGAGCCCAGCGGGTCAAGGCTGTGGTGGCCGGGAGTGGTCGCTGCACTCCAGTCTGGGTGACTGAGTGAGACTCCAACTCAAAAAAAAAAAAAAAACAGAAAGAAAGAAAAAGAAAACTGAAGAAATGGTTCAACCTGTGGACCTTGATGCTAGGTTTGATGATGAATGGCGAGTCATGGAGAATGTGGAAAACTATGACAGAGTATGATCTAATGGTGACACACTGGGGGAAAGTTAGCAAGGCTGTTTGTTCAGTCTTCTGTGTCTTTGGGGATGCAGATGCACTTTCCTTCTGGTGTAGGGAAGGCAGGGTTCACCTGAGGGTCTTAGGACCTTCTTTAAAGGAAGGCCAGAAAATCCTTCTGGGTTTTATGACCCACTTCAGGGCAGGTCTTGCACTGTGCTGTTTTTCAAATTCCTTCAGCTTAAAATATTCAATATGACAAGTACTATATTTTGGGATAGTGTGTCCTACACCCCATCACAGGCCAGCTATCAAGGGTGGGGGATGAGGAAGTTGATCAGATATCAAGGGTGAGGAGTTTAAAAAAAGGACTCAGGAACCTGACTGAAGAGAGTCTTAAAGATAATCTTTGTCACTAGAATACATCGGTGAATACAAAAGACAAATATTCCTGCTCTGTGAGTTTATATCTACAGGGGAGGAGACATTAGCACAATAAGAAACAACATACTGTGTTACAAGGTGATAGATGTGTTAAAGGAAAAATTTTAAAGAAAAGGGTCTGGGTGTGGTGGCTCACGCCTGTCATCCCAGCATTTTGGGAGACTGAGGTGGGAGGATAACTTGAGTCCAGGTGTTTGAGACCAACCTGGGCAACATAGACCTCATCTCTACAAAAAAATTTTTAAAAATTAGCCCAGCATGGTGGCATGTACCTGTAGTCCTAGCTACTCAGGAGGTCAAGGCCTAGAAGGTCAAGGTTGCAGTGAGCCATGTTTGTGCTACTGCATTCTAGCCTGGGCAACAGAATGAGACACTGACTCAAAAAAAAAATTTTTTTTTTCAAAGAAAAGGCAAAATCATTTATCTCACACAAATATCAAATGAATACATGTCAAATAGTTTATTAACTATCTCATTAACTAATAAGTAATTCAGTTGTCAAGTACTGGGAAAAGTCTGAAATTTTACCTATGCAAGCTAACAAGTTAGCCTTCATGGTTTGCACAGATGCTAGCAGAATACACAATACTCCTGGGTCAGAGACAAAGGACTATGTTACTCACAGCAATAGTAGTGCTCAAGAGTATTGGCATTTTCCTACACCAGTTCCCTCTGTCCCAATTCCCCCAGGGTGACATGAAGAGGGACAAGTGATACCTACAAAAGCATTGAGTTGTGTGTCAAGAGAGGAACCCTAAGCTTAGGGAACCCAGATCTTTTATATTAGACAGCAAGTGTGCTTGCCTTTTGCTCTGGAGGGAGACTCTGCATCTCTGAAAGCCAAAGGGAGTCACTATCTTTCAAGGTTGTTTGCTAGACAGATATACTTGAAAAGATAACCTAAAACAATGGCAGTCAGTGCCTCTACTCATAAAACATGCAGAAATGTGAGAAACTCATGGAGAATTGTGTATTAATCCAACGAGGAGGTTGCAACTGATTCAAAGGAGAAATAAAAACACACATATATAGGCAATCAGAAATGCTGAAATGGATTTACCATTAGAGGCAAAACTTGTCAATTTGCCTAAGGCAATCAATCAAACACCATTTGCATTTCTATAGTCAAGAATCATTTGCATGGTCATCAGTTTTCTACAAATTGGAGAGTTGTAAGACAACTTAAATGCAATGAAAGGCAGAGATAAGGGTGCCCTATGGGACATTTTTGCCATTTCAAAGCCTTTTAGACTATTTCCTGACAAATGATATGGAACAAAACCCCACAACAGAGCAAGATAAGAAAGGCCAGGAGTGTAGTGCAGAGCAAGGGGCAGTGGAGAGGTTGAAATTTTCAGTAGGGTGGTCAGAATAATAGTTAAAGAAAGACTTGAAGGAAGTGAATTAATTACTAATCATGAGAAGTGGCTCATACCTGTAATCTCAGCACTTTGGGAGACTGAGGCAAGAGGATTGCTTGAGTTCAGGAGTTTGAAGCCAGCCTGGGCAACAGAGTGAGACCCCATTTATATTTTTTTTTAAATGAATAAAACAAGGTCTGGAAGGGAGCAATTTAAGACTGTATTAACTCAGCCTTAACCGGGGTGAGATTCTTACTTCCATCACCTCTTTGGCCAGTGGGTTCCACTGATTCACTTTCAATAAAAAGGTAGAGGGAACTGGGTGCGGTGGCTCATGCCTGAAATACCAGCACTTTGGGAGGCCGAGGCAAGAGGATTGCTTGAGCCCAGGAGTCTGAGACCAACTTGGGCAACATCACAAGACCTTGTCTCTGTATAAAAAATAATTAGCCAGGCATAGCAGTGTGTGTTTATAGTCCCAGCTGCTCCAGAGGCTGAGGCGGAAGGATCACCTGAGCCCAGGAGATTAAGGCTGTGGTGAGCCGTGATCATGCCACTGCACTCCAGCCTGGGTGACAGAGTGAGACTCCAATTCAAAAAAAAAAAGGTAGAGTGAGGGATATGAAGAGGTGATAAAGCATCTACATAACAACATTACCATAAGCATAGTAGCCTGAAACAGCACTCATTTATCATCTCACATTTGGACACATCTTGACTGAGCCCTTTGCAAGGCATCAGCCATGACTGGGGTCTCATCTAGAGACTGGACGATGGCAGGATCTGCCACCCCACTTATTTTTATTTTTATTTTTTTTTGACTTGGAGTCTCACTCTGTTGCTCCCAGCCACCGCAGCCTTGACCTGCTGGGCTCCGGCGATCCTTCCGCCTCAACTTTTCAAGTAGCTGGAATTACAGGCATGTGCTACCACGCCCGGCTGATTTTTTGATTTATTGTAGAGATGAGGTCTCGCTGCCCAGGCGGGTCTCGAACCCGCGGGCTCAGGCAATCCACTCACCTCAGCCTCCCAAAGGCGCAGAATTACAGGCTGAGCCACCGAGCCCGGCTTGCCACCCCACTTATATGGGTTGTTGGCAGCATTCAATTTCTTTTTTTTTGAGTTGGGAGTCTCACTCTGTCACCCAGACTGGAATGCAGTGGCCACTCCCGGTCACCGCAGCCTCGACCTGCTGGGCTCAGGCGATCCTTCCACCTCAGCCTTTCAAGTAGCTGGAACTACAGGTGTGCAATACCACACCCAGCTAATTTTTTTATTTTTTATTTATTGTAGAGATGATCTCACCAAGTTGCCAGGCTGGTCTCAAACCTGTGAGCTCAGGCAATCCTCTCACCTTGGCCTCCCAAAGTGCCGGGATTATAGGCGTGAGCCACTGCACCAGGCTGCATTCAATTTCTTGTGGCTGTAGGACCAAGAGCTTGAGATTCTTGCTGGCTGTTGCTGAGGCTGCCTCAGCAGCTAGAATCTGCCTCCAGTTCCTTACGACATGGGCTGCCAGCATGGCCACTTGCTCCTTCCCAGTCCTCAAGAGAGCAAGTGAGTCCTAGCACGATGGGCACTCCAGTCTTCCGTGACTCAGTCACGTACATCCCATCCCCTTTGCTAAGCTCTGTTGACTAGAGGCAAGTCTCCAGTGTGAATACCAGGAGGCGGGGGTCACAGTAGGCTGCCCTGAAGTCTGTCTGCCACTAAAGTACCTACTATGTGTCAGTTCTGGGCATATGTACTTATAGCCCACTTTTGGTCTCCCAACCACCTTGCACAGTGGGTTTATTAGCTCTCATTTTAGGAGGAAACCAAGGCTCGGAGAGGTGAGGCTGAAGCCCTGCTGCTTGGGATTTAAACCCGAGTCTGTTTCCAGAGCCAGCCCTCCCTCCCTTCCCTCCTTCCTTCCTTCCATCCTTCCATCAAAATCTCCCAGGCTGGAGTGCAATGGCATCATCATGGCTCAGCATAGCCTCAACCTGCTGAGCTCAGGTGATCCTTCTACCATAACCTTCCAAGTAGCTGGAACTATATGCCTGCACCACCACATCAGCTAATTGTTTTTGATTTATTATAGAGACAAGGTCTTCCCAAGTTGTCCAGGCTGGTCTCAAACTCCTGGGCTCAGGCAATCCTCTCGCCTCTGCCTCCTAAAGTGCTGGGATGACAGGTTGAGCCACCGTGCCTGGCGCCCCGACTGAATCAAAACCAGGGAAGAGCCAGGCTCGGTGGCTTAGCCTGTAATCCCGCACCTTTGGGAGGCTGAGGTGAGTGG